CCCCAAAACCCCAAAACCCCAAAACCCCAAAACCCCGAGAGTTATAATCGAAGTGATTGGACATGTGCATTAAAATTGGTCGAAAATCAAATTTAAATAATGACATCATTAGTTAACTTTATTAATGCTAAAAGATTATATATTTAAAGCGACTTATTTACGCGTAATTTTCAACTAAAATAATTAAATTTACTCTGAACAACCCAAATGATGGAGCGAAATAAAAACGATATGTTGACATGCTTTTGCTGCAAAAAATTCTATAATCTATAGGAAAGGAGACCAGTTTAACTTCCATGTGGTGATGTACTCTGTATGCAATGCTATCATAACCAAAGAGATTAAGTCTAAAACTAGCAAATTTAATGTCCCTTTGATGCTTCACATCTTTGTGCTAATAATTAACCGATCATTCAACCTTTGTTTCTGATTAGAAGTCTTGAGTAGCATGATTTCTATCTAATCAATTGTGATAAACATCCTAAACAAGCATCTGAAGTATATTGCAAAAATCAAAATAAAATGGTATGCAGTAAATGCTTGCAGTTTGACCCTCATCAACATCATTTCTAAGATCCAACATAACACTTTGCTTTCGATCCAAAATTCTTAGAAGAGTCATTTGAAAGAGTTTTGGCAATTCTCAGAGAAGAAGCCAGTAAGATTCAAACATAGATAGATAGCATGGTTTAATTCATAAATAAAGAAAGAAGCTTTAAAGTTGATGAGATTGAAAAATTGATTTAACAAAATTGCAATATCTTAAAATATTCTGCTCTTGATAATGAAATTAAGATGAATCTGAAAGATAATGTCAATATATAAATCTATATTCAAAACTTTTCGTAAATACTTTAATCTTTAATCCTTATTATAGAGATTCCTATAGATAAATGAATAATCTTATCATGTAGGACATGAATTTAATGAACATTATACCTAGATAAGATTGATAAAAACACGATGTATTTAGAAGACTTGTAGATCTTAAATTGAAAGAAATTTGTGATTTATCAAAGGGCTTTAAGGCCCTTTTTGGAGTCAATTGAACAAGTCTTATATATAAAGCTACTAGAGATGGATTTAAAGCAGCTAATTTCCATGAGAAATGTGATAACTTAGGGCCTACTATTTCATTTATTATGAGTGAACATGGCCTGGTTTTTGGATGCTACACCTCTCTCTCCTGGACATCACCTGATAATGATTAAACATTTCCAGATTAAGATGCTTTTATCTTTAGTTTAAGTAAGGACACTCTTCATTAATAATACCAAAATTTTGATCAAGCAGTTTATCATCAAAATGATAGGTTAATTAAATTAGGAGGAGGAGCTGACATTTGTATTAAGGAAGATTGTAATATAAATTATGAAAGCTTTTGTGAATTAGGCGGCACTTACATGCCTCCCCATGATCTTAAGAAAGGAGATTAATAATGTTATAGCTATTTAGGAGGAAGTGAATATTTCAAAGTAATTGAAATAGAAGTATACTAAATTACACTCTGATTATTT